TATTCCGATTACCTCGACGGATAGCTTATATGAGAGACATATTGTGGCAACGGTGACGCAAATTTCCGCGTGCAGCCAAAAAGCTGTCGCACCTGGTCGCGAGATGAACTCGGGAATGTGGAGTTCGGAAGCTACGTACTAGAGTTAGAACCTCCCTACTTCTCTGAGCGTTCACATCAGTTCAACACCCTCTTTAGACGAGATTGGCATGCTAGTCTACTGGCCTCGTTAGCACTTCATGTAAGGAACGACGCAAACTTCCTGATTGTACACAGTGACTTTGAAGGGGCACGATGGCTGGGAGGGGGGGGTGGGGGAAAGGGCGGTTGCTGCTAACGTCACTGGTGGAAGGGCAGTGGCCAAACGCCCTCTGGTGGCCCATTCACCAGTGACGTTGGCAGCAACCGCCTGCTACTGCCGTCGTGCTAACTGCCTTAGAGCCGCAAAAAATATGATAAAGTAGATCACAGCCAACATATTTTTGACAAAACACTTTGCATTGCCCTGGAAAAGGGCAGTTCAGAAAATGTGCACCATGGTGGGACGAAGTAGTGAAATGAAAGCGGCGAATCAGCAGTGCGGAAAAGTGCATTGAAGTCAATGCACACCCAGCGTTTGTGGCGTTCAGAGTGCTGAACCATGTTTAAGGCGAAGTGTAAGTCCTAAAAGTGTTTATCTTCCAGCAAGTAGGAAGCAGATTTCGCCCGTCCTCTTCTTCACGTGACGACACGGTCCTGTCACTTCGATCATTACGTGATGAGACAATCTGTTAGAGCGAAAGGACTATGTTTGATTCTCAATCTCTCCAGGTTCATACATGAATTTTTTATTTTTCCGACCGGGGTTCTCATAGGGTTGTTCCTTGCAGGTGAAATATGTCGATCCAGCTGATGACCAGCCACAAAGCAATTTAATTCGTGCAGAAATTTTACAGGATTTGGAGAGAAAATTAATTGAACTTAGGGATAAGTAAGTGTCTGAGAGAGCTTTCATTTCCTTTCTTGAGACGAACTTTAAGTTATCCATGGTTTTTTTCAGGTCTGCAGCTGAAATCCACGAAGTGCTGCCTAAACTACAAGCTGTTTACCCAGCGAAAGCGGTTGCTGTCAAAAATATGGATACTAGAGCTGTAACTGCTTTCTATATATTGCGAGACCTTTTGTAGAACATTTTCAAACCATTTTCTAATAGTGTCACAGTCGATATCTTGATTTTGACGGGGAGTGTCAACGGACCTGGTTGTGAGTGCGGCAGAGGTAAATAGTTGCCGGTTCAGACAGAGAATGTGTGCTAAGACAGTTCGGAAGGGGAGGCGTGACGAGACAATCGTAGTATGCTCCGCTGGTGGGCGTGGCGAGCGACACCGCGCCCGGTGGACGAGTTGCTAGTTCGGCTGTTTGAACTTGAGGGTTAAAATGGCGGAAATTCGATATCGCCCGTCAGTCTTGTGTTCCTTTGAATTCGTATGGGTTCTGCTGCTCCGTTCGACAAATAGATGTATCGAGAATTTGCCGCACGTGACGCGACGACACGACAGTTTACGATTGTCTTGTCCGTCTCCCGTCTGGGGCCCCCGGGCCGCGTAGCTGCGTCACGTCAT